CTTGAGCCATAGGCGCCAAGCCTTGATTTTTTTTTTTGAGACAGAGTCTTACTATGTCACCCTTGGTAGAGTGCTATGGCGCCACAGCTCACAGCAACCTCAAACTCTTGGGCCTAAGCGATTCTCCTGCCTCAGCCTCCCAAGTAGCTGGGACCATAGGCACCCACCACAATGCCCTGCTATTTTTGTTGTTGTTGCAGTTGTTTAGTTGGCCCAGGTGGTTTTTGAACCCGCCACTCTTGGTGTATGTGGCTGGCACTGTAACCGCTGTGCTACTGGCGCCAGGCCTTCTCTTTGATTTTTATACATGTTACTGGCTATATACTATCCATGGCTTCAGTCTTTTATCTCTTCATTAATTTGTTTCAGGCTCTCTCCTAAAAATCCATTCCTTTCATCTGTTTTTTCCTTTCTTTTTATTCTATATCGTGTATACAGAGCTGGGAAGTGAAAATTATACTTAATTATCTTAATTTATTGAACATAAACAGGGGAGGAGCTAGGTGTGAAAATCTTTGAGTGCCAAGGAATTTGGACTTTATTCTTTTATCAAGAATGCCAGTTTTGGAATTTTAGAAAGATAATTGCCAAAACAGTGAATTGAGAAGGATTAAGATTGGGAATGGGGTGGGGCAGGGGGATCTGTTTGGGTATAATTTTAGGTTTGGGTGTGAGATGATGAGGTCTTTTTTTTTGCAGTTTTTGGCCAGGGTTGGGTTTGAACCCGCCACCTCTGGCATATGGGGCCAGCACCTTACTCCTTTGAGCCACAGGCGCTGCCTGATGTTGAGGCCTTGAGTTAAGAAGTAGGGAAAGTGCCCAGCATGGTGGCTTATGCCTGTAATAAGAGGCTGTGGTGGGTGGATTGCTTGAGCTCAGGAGTTTGAGACTAGCCAGAGCAAGATGGAGAACCCCCCATCTCTACTAAAAGTAGAAAAACTAGTCAGGATAGTTGTTGGTGCCTATAATCCCAGCGACTGGGAGGCTGAGGCAAGAGAATTGCTCAAGCCCAAGAATTTGAGGTTGCTGTGAGCTATGACAGCATGGCGCTCTACTACCCAAGTCAAGAGAGTGAAACTCTGTCTCAAAAAGAAAAAAAAAAAAGGAGGCAGGGCGTGGTGGCTCATGCCTGTAATCCTAGCATTCTGGGAGGCGGAAATGGGTGGATTGCCTGAGCTCAGCAGTTCAGCAGTTTGAGACCAGCCCGAGCAAGAATGTGACCCATCTGTAAAAAAAAGAAAAAGAAAAAATAGCCAGGTATTGTGGCAGGTGCCTGTAGTCCCTCCCTGCAACTGGGAGGCTGAGGCAAGACCATCAGTGGAACTCTGAGCCCAGTAGGAGGAAAGGATAAATTAATTGAACAAAGAAATTGATAAGTAGTTTTGAATGCCTCCAATTGGACTCGACATTGTGTTTTGTGATATAAGATCTATTATGACATTCTCTGTAATTAGGAGTACCAGACAGTTAAATAACTGGCGTATAAGACAATAGTATAAGAGGAGGGAAATTATTCCATTCAGGAGTAATCTCTGGCAGGTTTATGGAGAAAGTCAGAGTTAGATTTGGTTTAGAGCCTATACTAGGTCAGCTGCTTTCTGTACAGCTCCAATGAAGGTAGGTTTAGACTTGAAGATGAGGGTCAGATGACCAAGGAAGAAGGATATATGGAGTTGCTGTCAGCTGCTTACCCCATCACAGGGTAGCAGTCATTCTGCTAATTAAACCATTCCAGGGAAGTACTTTGAACTTTACAGAGCTCTTCCCTATAGAAAGTTTGTAAATATAATGAATTATGTTTCAGTTAAGTAAAAATCTGACCTTCTGATGATTTGGTTTTGCAATCTTCTTTGTAGTGTTCCTGGACAACAATGGAAAGGGGAATTCACCACAATCCGGAAAAGGTAAAGGCCACTATTTCATTTGTTTTTCACTTGTTTGATTCAGATTTAGTAGGTTTTGTTGCTATTGATAAAAAAACTAAAAAAAGCTCTTTTTTTTGAGACAGAGTCTCATTTTGTCACCCTTGGTGGAGTGCCATGGTGTCACAGCTCACAGCAACCTCCAACTCTTGGGCTTAAGCGATTCTTTGCCTCAGCTTCCCAAGTAGCTGGGATTGCAGGTGCCTGCCTATTTTTTTTCAAGATTAGGTCTTGCTCTGGCTGGCTCAGGGTGGTCTTGAACTCATGAGCTCAGGTAATCCACCTGCCTTGGCCACCCAAATTACATGCTAGGGTTACAGGCATGAGCCACCTCACCTGGCCTTGCCTGGCTATTTTTAGAGACAGGGTCTTGCTCTTGTTCAAGGTGGTCAAGAATCCATGAGCTCATGCAGTCAATTCACCTCAGCCTCCCAGAGTCCTGGGATTACAGGTGTGACTTTTTTTTTGAGACAGTGTCACTCTGTCACCCAGGCTAGAATGCCATGGTGTTAGCCTAGCTCACAGTAACCTGGTAGCTCACAGTAACCTTGGTTTAAGCTATGTCTTGTCTTAGCCTCCTGAGTAGCTGGAACTACAAGTGCCTGCCACGATGCCCAGATTATTTTTCTACTTTTGTGAGAGACAGGGTCTTGCTCTTGTTCAGGCTAGTCTGGAACTCCTGAGGTCCAGCAGTCCATCCCTGTCTTAGCCTCCCAGTATGCTGGGATTACAGGCATGAGCCACCTCTCCAGACTGATTAAAAAATACTTAAGAACACCTTAGGGCTGAACCTGGTGGCTCATTCCTATAACCTTAGCACTCTGGGAGGCCAGGGGAGGTAGATTGCTTGAGCTGAGGAGTTCTGAGACCAGTGTTAACGAACCCACAGAGAGGGGTTCACTGTTGCTCACTGCACAGAAAGCCAATTACTGAGAAAACGAGGATTGTCTGGGGAGAAAGGATTTATTTCAAAGGCCGCATAAACTGGGGGGTGGGGGAGCACAGGCTACCTCAAATCCACCTCCCTGATTAGTAGAGTCAAGGTGTTTTTATGGAGGTGAAAATGAATAATGCATAAAGGGAGTGAACCTCATTGCATGTTTGGGGTGGAGTACAGGGCACAAAAGCACAGTGAGGGATCAGGATAGTACGGGCATCCCATAAGAAATAGTGGACAAATCTCTCTCTGAGGGTGGTGATTTTAGGATTATAATGTGCTAGGGGTTAATTTCTTTTCTTTTCTTTTTTTTTTTTTGAGACAGAGCCTCACTTTGTGGCCATGGGTAGAGTGCTGTGGTGTCATAGCTTACAGCAACTTCAAACTCTTGGGCTCAAGTGGTTCTCTTGTCTCAGCTTCCTGAGTACCTGGGACTACAGGCACCTGCCACAACATCTGGCTATTTTTAGAGATGAGGTCTCCCTCTGAATCAGGCTGGTCTCCAGCCCGTGAGCTCAGGCAATCCACTTGCCTTGGCCTCCCAGAATGCTAGAATTATAGGTGTGAGCCCATGCCTGGCCTTAGGTGTGAGCCCATGCCTGGCCTTAGGGGTTAATATTTTCTTTTTTTATTCTGTGCACAGGCCCAGTGGCTCTTGAGCACAATCTGCAGTGGCTTATCACTTGTCTTCCTCCAGGGGTCAATCTGGTAAAGAAAGGAGCTGTAGTTATCTCAAGGCTATTCCTGGGAAAAACTCAGAAGAATTGCATCATTGTACAGAAAGTTACAAAGTTCTGTTCAGCAATTTGTGCTGAGACCTCTCTGCCTTGTCTCTACTTTTTCTAAGATTGTGTTGCTAGGCCACTGGAGCTGAGATAACCCTCAGCTCCTGTTTCATCCCTGTCAAGTCCAGGCCACTTAGCTGCCTGCTTCAGTTCTGATGAGAACACTGAAACCTGTGGAATTTGAGGGAGCTAAGACACTTGAGAATTGTAAAATGTTGGTAATAAAGGTGGTCACACCAGCCTGAGTGAGAGCGAGATCTCTCTCTACTAAAAATAAAAAAAACCAGCAGGGCATTGTAGCAGGTGCCTTTAGTCCCTGCTAATTGGGAGGCTAAGGCAAGAGGATCACTTGAGCCAAAGAGTTTGAGATTGCTGTGAGCTGTGACCTCACAGCACTCAACCCCAGGACAACTGAGTGAGACTCTGTCTCAAAAAACCAAACAACAAAAAAGAACACCTTAGGGGTAGGATAATTAAGAATTTATAATTAGAATAGGGCAGTGCCTGTGGCTCAGTGAGTAGGGCACCAGCCCAATATACCGAGGGTGACGGGTTCAAACCCAGCCTCGGCCAAACTGCAACAAAAAATAGCCGGGCACTGTGGTAGACGCCTATAGTCCCAGCTACTTGGGTGGCTGAGGCAGGAGAATTGCCTAAGCCTGAGAGTTGGAGGTTGCTGTGAGCTGTGACTCCACAGTACTCTACCAAGGGCAATAAAGTGAGACTCTATCTCTAAACAAAACAAAACAAAAAAACTATAATTAGAATAACTGACCAAAATCCATGTTTTGCATGTGGAGACTTTGTAGTGATCAAAATGATTTTCTTGTAAGCACTGTGATCCTATGTGAAGCCTTAGAGGTGTTTTCCCATAGATAGTTGGTGCCCATTTGTGTTTTAAGAATTACTTTCAGCCAGTCTACTTGGGGATTTCTTGCACACTGATACGTGATATTATCAGGTTTGTAGAAATCAGATGCATGTAACGGTTACAAAGGTTTGATCTTTTTTAAATCACCTTTGATTTCCTTATGTTTTGGGATTATTCATTTTAGAAAAAAGTTTTTGAGAACATTATATAACATAAACAATTATAATTGCAGTGGTCAGTGTTCCAGCTGTGGGAAAACCATAGAGTCTATTGAATTGAGTCCAGAAGAGTATGAATTTCTCACAGGAAAAATCATGAGGGATGTGATTGATGGAGGTGATCAGTACAAAAAGACAACACCTTGGGTGAGTCTAACACGTTTTATTACCTTCTTGGATTGCTTGTCAGCAATTTCTGTAGAAGACCGGATAGTAAACACTGAAGGCTTTACAGGCCATATGGTCTTTGTTGCAACTTCTCACTCTCCTATTGTACTTAAAAGTCATAGTCAATAGGCTTGGTGCCCGTAGCTCAGTGAGTAGGGCGCCAGCCACATACAACAAGGCTGGCAGATTCAAGCCTGGCCTGGGCCTGCTAAACAACAATGACAACTGCAACAAAAAATATAGCTGGGCATTGTGGTAAATGCCTGTAGTCCCAGCTACTTGGGAGTCTGAGGCAAGAGAATTGCTTAAGCCCAAGAGTTGGAGGTTGCTGTGAGCAGTGCCACCACAGTACTCTACCCAGGGTGACATAATGAGACTGTCTCAAAAAAAAAAAAAAAAAAAAAAGTTATAGTCTATACATAAATAAGTGGTGTGTTCCAGGTAAACTTTATTCATGAAAACAAGCAGTATGCCAACCTGCCTCTGTGCCAACCATTCTGAGAGATCACTTTAGAATTATGTAGAGTAATTGGGTTAGTATCATCTATTGATGTCAGTCACATTACATCTGGGCATAATGAGTACACTTAAACTAAAAAGATAGGTGCTTATATCTTCTCTAAGTGTTTCCAGAAAACTGTGTTCAGGTAAACTCCCATGAAGACACTGTGGTTTCTCACAACATTTCTATTCAGGAGAGGTTAGTATAACTTGACATAATTATTTACATACTCTTATATATTTACTGTGATTCCCACTCATTTATAACAACTTTGTTTTGCTAATCTTTAATACTTTATGCTGGTTCATTGAGACCTATTTGAAGAGGTAAGCAGTTTTTCTGTTGATCTTCTTGGGGACAGTTTGCCCTAACCTTAATCATTTTACTGACTCTTTTTTCTTCAAGGCAACAAATAAAAATGAGAAGTGAGAAATGTCTTGTCTTCTCACCTTGACTTACAATTTGCATAAAATGTCCTGAGATCATATAAAGATCTTTAATTTTAGAATAAAGTCCAAATCTGGTCTATGAAAACAATATCTCCATTTCATAGAATTCCTTTTAGCTAAGCTTATCGATAGAATGACAGTGAACATTTATCAGTTTATCATTTATTTATTATCTTATCTCTTATTTTATCCTTGAAACTACCCTATAAAGGTACTATTTTATTTCTATTTTACAGATAGAGTACTTGAGACTTAGGGAGATTAAATCTAACCAAGGACATCTCACTAATAAAATCTGGGTCTAACTAAGCCCCACACCTTTATCATTATACTCTATTGCCTCTCATACAGGGACAGCCTATACTTTCATCTATGCCCTACGACCAACTAGTTTTAGCGATTGAATACCTTAGTAATTTCTGTTAATAAAATATGATTTAAACAAATAAATTTTATTTTCCTTCAGCAAACATCCATTTATGTGTATCTTTTAAACTGGTTGTTACGATAAACATGGTTGTGTAAGTCATCCTGTCTGCCACAAAAAACTTACATTTCTACATTTCTCTTGTGGGCTAATTGAATACTCTTCTCACCCTCCAAGTTTTTACATGACAAAAATTTCAACCTACAGAAAAAAAGAAAAAAATAGCAGAGTGTACTACATATTCTTCACTTAGAGTAAGTGTTAATATTATGCCACTTTCGCTTTTTATGTGTCTGTTTTTATGAATCATTTAAAGGTAAGTTGTAGACATGATGATACATTACCTTAACTATTTCAGGGTATATCTTCTACAACTAAGAAAATTATGTTATTAAATACCATTATCACATTTAAGAAAAATAGTAGTACTTTAGTACTATCTAATAAAAAGTACACATTCAAATTGTCCCCACAAAATGTATTTTATAACTATGTTTTCCCCCAATTTCAGGTTCAATTAAAGTTTGCTTATTGCTTTTGGTTGTTATGTCTCTCTAAATCCAAATCAGTCTGCCTGGCCTTTTATTTTGTTTTTATGACACTGACTTTTTGAAGTCTGGATGAATAGTCTTATACAGGGATTCTCAAATTTTGTCTCTGAATCACCTGAGGAGCTTATTAAAAAGCAAATTCTGATTTAGTTGTTGGGAATGGGGCCTGATATCTATATTGTGAATAAGCTTCCAGGTGATGTGATTTTGGTCTTTGGATCACATTTTGAGTAGCAATACTGTGGACTAGCTAATTGTCTTATCTTTTTCTCTATATTAGTTTGATTTGAATGCTTTTGGATATATTGCATAGGTGATGCCATGTGCTTTCACTGCATCACAGGCATGTAATACCAGATCATCCTCACTATTGCTGATCTGTTCCATCACTTGATTAAATGAATGACTGTCAGGTCTCTTCATTGTAAAGGTACATTTCTTTGTAGTTAACTAGTAATCTGGGGAGTAATACTTGTAAGACCCATGCAGATATGCTGTCATACATCAACTTTTTGAATTAATTTTTATGGGTTGATACTAGAACCTATTTATGGAATACATCCATTAACTTTTTTTACCCATATTTTCAGCATCATGGAGATAATCCCTGCCTTTGGAGATTGTCAAGTGATGATTTTCTAATTAATTCATTCCTTCAGTTTTATTAACTAGCATTGTTATTCTACAGAAGTTTTTACTCTTTCCCCTTTTTCCTTTTTTTATTCACTATGTTAGACTCCATTACTGTCATTCCTTTTGATGCTGAAATGGCCCCAAATTTAGCCAGTAGGAGGGCCTTCAAGCCAGCTTCTGTCTCTTTTTGACACCTAATTATTTTTATTTATTTAGTTTTTGGAGGCAAGGTCTCATTCTTTTGTCTAGACTGGAGTGCAGTGATAGGATCTTAGCTCATTGCAGCTTCCAATGGTTGGGCTCAACTTCCTGAATAGCTGGGGCTACAAGCGTGTACCACCACACCTGGCTATTCTTTCTTTTTTTTTTTTTTATTTTTTTAAGTTTTTGTGGAGATGGAGGTCTTGCTATGTTGCTCAGACTAGTTTTGAACTCCTAACTTCAAGTGATCCTCCTGCTTTGGCCTCCAAAAGTGTTAGGATTACAGGCATGAGCCTGGCCATATGATAATTTTTAATAATAGTAAGTACAGCTACATTTATGGAATACTTACAGTGGGTTGGACACTGTACTTTGCCACTTTAGCTGGTAATGAATACTATGAGACAGATACCAAATTCTTTGTAAATGTGGAGGTGTTTGGAACAATACAGATAATAGCAAAATGGAGAGATGTAGAAAATTATAAATCAAGGGTCAGTGCACTATGGCTCACAGACCAAATCCAGTCTCTCTGGTAGCTGAGACTACAGCTACATGACTGTGCATGACTAATTGTTAAGTTTTTTGTAGAGATGGCCTGTCACTATGTTGTCCAGGCTGATCTTGATTTCCTGGCCTCAAGTGATCCTCCAGCCTCAACCTCCCAAAGTGCTAGGATTATAGGTATGAGTTACTGTTCCAGCTAAACTGTACATATTTAAAATGTACACCTTGGTGATTTTTTTTTTTGAGACGGGGGGGGGGAGCTCGTGGTTGTAGATATGTTCATTATCTTGACTGTGATGAGTCTATATATACGTATATCAAAACTCACCAAGGGGCAGCTCCCGTAGCTCGGATTTTGGGGGGTGGTAGATATGTTCATTATCTTGACTGTGATGAGTCTATATATGTCGTCCTCGGTAGAGTGCTATGACATCACAGCTCACAGCAACCTCAAACTCCTGGGCTTAAACAATGCTCTTGCCTCAGCCTCCCAAGTAGCTGGGACTACAAGTGCCTGCCATAGTGCCCAGCTATTTTTTTGTTGCATTTGTCATTGGTGTTTGCCTGGCCTGGGCCGGGTTCAAATCCGCCAACCTTGGTGTATGTGTCCAGCGCCCTACCCACTGAACTACGGGAGCTGCCCCTTGATGAGTTTTGATATACATGTATATATAGACTCATCACAGTCAAGATAATAAACATCTACCATCTCCCAAAATTTCCTCTCATAGAGGTGGTCAGCGTAAGGAACTAAGCCTACTGTACTGATGCATATATGTGGTGCATGCCCAGGTCTATGAAAATTAGGTCAACTTATAAAGGTGGTCAACTATGGAGGTTCTGCTGTACTTTGTTTTTTGGTCTGGCTTGTTTTATTCTGCATAGTCATTTTGGGATTTCGTACATGTTTTGTATCTCAATTGTTCTTTCATTTTTATTGCTAAGTAGTATTCCATTGCGTATGTATGCCACAATTTGTAAATTCATTCATTTCTTTTGTTTTTTTTATTCATAGCTATGTACATTAATGGAATCATGGGGTACAATGTGCTGGTTATGTATACAGTTTGAAATATTTTCATCAAACTGGTTAACATAGCCTTCATAGCATTTTCTTAGTTATTGTGTTAAGACACTTATATTCTACATTTAGTAAATTTCACATGTACCCTTTGTAAGATGCACCATAGGTATGGTCCCACTGATTACCCTCCCTCCACCCATCCTCTACCCTCCCATCCCCTTCCTTTCCCCTTTCCCCATATTCTTGGGCTATAATTGGCTTATAGCTTACATATGAAAGCTATAAATTGGTTTCATACTGGGGCTGAGTACATTGGATATTTTTTCTTCCATTCTTAAGATACTTTGCTAAGAAAAATATATTCCAGCTCCATTCATGTAAACATATAAGAGGTAAAGTCTGTATCTTTCTGTAAGGCTGCATAGTATTCCATGGTATATATATACCACAATTTATTAATCCATTCATGGGTCTGTGGGCACTTGGGCTTCTTCCATGACTTAGCAATTATGAATTGGGCTGCAATAAACATTCTGGTACAAATACCTTTGTTATAGGGTTATTTTTGGTCTTCTGGATAGATACCTAGTAGAGAAATTGAAGGATCGAATGGCAGGTCTATTTTTATATCCCTAAGTGTTCTCCAAACATCTTTCCAAAAAGAACATATTGGTTTGCATTCCCA